TCACCCTCCACCGAGCCACACGAAGGAATCTGGCGCTCCTTCCTGTTTACAGGTGTTTCCTCTTCGGTTGTCACTTACCCAAGTGAGCACATGCATTCTTTAATTTTTCTTCATTAATCAGTCTCCAAATTCCTTTACACTTGCTCCTCAGGTGATTCCGTCAAATCAACACATTTCTAGAGCTAAACATGCCTGGAAGAATATAGCGTTCCAGCTGCAGCCACCCAAACGTGTGAGATTCGTGTATTTTCACCACACTCCACGCCATATGTTTCCACAGGTTCACTTCCAGGAGTGTTCTGTGCCTCCGTTTGCTACCGTGCACATGCATACTCAGTCTCCTCTGCGCATTTTCTAAGTGAGTCTTAAAGGCATCAACAATTAAGATGGATATTGACGTTAGCCAGTGTTGCTGGGTGAGGGTGCGAGGAAATAGGCATTCTTGTACACGTTGTCGAGAGTTCCGACTGCCACACCTTTTTTGAAGCCCATTTTAACAATAGCTTTTAAAATAAAAAATACAGGGGCCGGGTACATTGGCTCACACCTGTAATCCTAGCACTCTGGGAGGCCGAAGCAGGAGGATCACTCGAGGTCAGCAGTTTGAGACCAGCCTGAGCAAGAGGAAGACCCTGTCTCTACTAAAAATAGAAAAATTAGCCTGGTGTGGTGCACAACTGTAGTCCCAGCTACTTGGGAGGCTGAGGCAGGAGGATCGCTTGAGCGCAGGAGTTTGAGGTTGCAGTAAGCTATGATGATATCACAGCACTCCGTCATTCTGTTAATCTCTTCACTTTTAGCTTTCTCCTGTACATAGCTGTAATGAAGTGAACCATAGTTGTTATTTTCTCTTTACAGACTAAGCATTATGCATAGTAACCTATGCAGTGCTTGCAAAAATGCTATATGTTGGGTGGTATTATTATTCTCTTTTTATAGATTAAGAAACTGAGGCACAGACAGGTTAGATAATTTGCCTAAGGTCACACAGCTAGTAAGTGGCGGAACTAGATTTTGCACAATCTAGCTCCAGAGGCTGTGCTCTTGACCAGAAAGCCATAACTCAAACTATGATTTTCATGGCTAAGTATATGATAATTATTTTGCTACTCCTTTCTGTGCCTTTAGGTTCACTATTATACACAGAGCAGCAATGAATACGTTGATCACGTAAATGTCTTTGTACACGTGTTCAATTACTACCTTAGGCTAGATTATCATGAATAGAATTGCTGAGCCAAAGGGCTGACACATTTTTAAAGGTTAGGTACATATCGGTCAAAGTTTTTAAGCAATATGTTTTCTAAGCCTCTCCGAGCCTTATAATTCATCATCCCTTTCTAAAAATGTGTAACTGTCTTCTGGGTTCAATGGTAGATTTTTTAAAAAAAATATGGAACTTCTTGTTCTACTTCCTCTACCTTCCTTCTGCATTATACCCATTTCTCTAAAATGTTTAACAAAATAGCACATTTTCAAAAAGCATTATTCCTTATGTTATCAGTTTGTCCAGTACCTTGCATCCCCCAAACTTTAACTATTAGCTGGGGTACCTGTAGAGATGGAATACTGCCCCACCATTTGACTTACAAATTTTCATAAGACTTATTTTTTTTTCTTTTCTCTATTTTATTTTTTCTTTTAAGCTTCACAAGAATCAAAATAACAAATCTAATATGTAATAATTTTATTTTCTTGATTTCAATACATGTAAATTCAGGGGGACTGACTGGCAAGAATGAATGATGTGTTAGGGATCAGGAAGTCGAACCTCCCACCTCTGCCTCTAATTTGTTTTATGACCTTGAAGAAGTCACTTAATCATTCTGCATTTCATTTTCCTTATTTTCCAAATGATTAATGTGAACTAAGTGACCTTGAAAACCTATTCCAGGATGTTTTAAAAAGTGTCAGGTTATCCAAGAGTAAAGGTGATCTTTGGAAAGGGTCATGTGCCACTGGGACAAGTAGTCTACATGTTGGTGGGGTGGGGTTGGGGGCAACTAGAGATTTATTTCAATATATTAAAAATATTTTGTGCTTTGTCACTTGACCAAGGCCTCCTAACAGTGTGCTTAAGTGGTTTGTAAAACGTATCTCTAAGGCCAAGGTAATTATAGTTGTTCCACTGAAGCATGACAAATGGCCTCTCACTTTGAATTCTTTTATGGGAAAGAAAAACCTTCTGTGACAACAGCACTGGAACTTAATTACAGGCTCCAGATTTGGGGACAAGAATCGAGACAGTCATTGGCTGTAGTTGAGAGAGAAGACATGAGCAAGGACCCACCTGGGAAGAATCAGGACAGGGTGATGTAACAATAACAATAACACAACGACATCGGTGGAGCCGCATTGAGAACTTGCTGTTTGCTGGGCGTTATCCCGAGAACTTCATATACACCCACTATCTCATTCAATTCCCACAGGGCCCCTAAGAGATAGGTTATGAGGTAGGTACTTTTATTTTTTCTGTTTCACAAAGATGAGTACTGGGAGGCTCTTAATAGAAGCTAGATAATCTACTTTGAGTCATTCGGCCAATAGTTGTCAGGGGTAGGAATTGAACCCTGAGAGTTCATTCATTTATGTAACACTCATTTTTGTTTTGTTTTGTTTTGTTTGAATGCCTGTTATTAATATATGCCAGGCACCCTTCTAAGGGCTGGTGATGATGAAGTGAATGAGGCAACATTCCTGCTTTTATGGAGTTTGGCTACTAGTGGACGAGGCCAGTCAAAACAAAGCAACACATCAACAATAATTTCAGGTGGTAATAAGTGCTATGAAGAAAAATAAGCTCTCTGTTAGGAAAGTGACTGGAGTAGGGAGACAGTTACCTTATACAAGTCTGGCGGGAAAAGCCCCCGGGAGGTGACATCGGGAGGTGACATCGAGCTGAGCCCTACATGCTGGAGCAGGTGAGCCAGGCAGAGACCCGTCGGAGAGCATTTTTCCATGGAGAGTCCATAAGAGCAAAGGTCGAGGGATTCACAAGAGCCTGGCTTGTTCCAGGAACAGAGAGAAAACCAGTGCTGTTGGATTATAAGTGAAAAATGGCAAGATATGAGCAGCGGAGTCGGAGAGGCAGGCAGGCTCCCAGTGACACAGGACTGTGGGCCGCAGCAGGATGCTCAGATTTTATTCCACATGCAGAGAGGAGACACTGGGGAATTTTATGCAAGGGAGTGGTGTGATCTCACGTGTCCATAGATGGCTTTCTTCGCCTACGTTATGTTGCCACCAAGGAGCGACTGGAGAGGGATAAATTGTTTATGTAGCCTGCAGGGTAGCCTAAATCAAGGTTAAGTTAGGGTCCAGTATTTCAGATGAAACAAAGTTCTAGGTTTTTTCACAGAACAAAGAGTGAAATGGACAGGGAAAAGTCATCTAATCTGGAAGTCTAACTTTAGGTAAGAAGACCTTAGCAGATCCAAGTTGAGCATCTGGCTATATTTAAAGACCTGCATAAAGGAGACTAACTCCTCCGTCTCAGGGCCTTCCCTGCATAGATAGAAAGCGGTGCTCTAGGTTCCAAACACTCTTCACCACTTCTAGGTCTACGGGTTGTGCTTGCTTCAAAGAATAAATCTCATCCACAATAACAAGACATTATAGCTTTGGGTAGGTGGCATCTCAGGGATTTACATTTCTATGCAATCTATACTCTGTGTGTGTGTGTGTGTGTGTCTGTGTGTCTGTGTGTGTGTGTGTATGTGTGTATGTGGGTATGTGTGTTGATCTTTATTTATCTTTGAAAAAATATTTCTAAAGATGTCAACATTTTAACCTAATGGGTCTGGATTTTCTGATGAGACGGCATTGTATGGATGCTTCTAGAATTTTATTGTGAACTCAGCCACTTGATTTATTTTCTTTGAATGTTCTTTATAAACAAACACTCATTCTAACCCATTAAAATTGGTTTATGTCACATATAGGATGAAATTAATTGCTTGTTTAGGTTAAAAGCTCACTATGCTAAGATATTGTTCTCTTACTTTGACAAAAATATTGAGTTAATGATCACATTTATTCAGCAAACTAAGAACAGACTGTGTGTTGCCCCGGGGGTGTCGGATGAGAAAAATAAAGAATTTCCTTATCTAAAGGGGATGAACTAGAGAACTTTTAATGTTCCCCCCCAACTTCCCTGTTCCCGGGATCAACCTTCTGTGTTTTGGGGAGAAGGATTCCCCCACTCCCCGGCTAATTAAGCTAGAGCATATTTTCCCAAAGCCTTATAGCTATGACCTCAGGAGGACTCTAATGGCTGCATCAGAATTATAAATTCAGCTGTTGGCACTGGGATGGTCAAGTCAACTGAATAAGCAGATTCTCTCCTATTGTCTGTTTCCTAGATTGATGAATAACAATTTCATCCTCTCCATTTTGCTGTAACTCTTTCACTCTGACACTTCTGATTGCTGAGAGGTTTCTGGAAATTTTTTAAGTCACACACTGGAGTTAATTCAAGGAGATAACGCGATTCCAATTGAATCATCAGTGTCTGCTGTCAGACCTAGTATTTTAGGAGTTCAGTTGGTTGAGTTGAGCAACTCTACAGATTTAATATTACATACTTGCCAGTTCGCGTCTTGCCCTCAAGTCTTAATAAATGGGCTAAAGGTCTGATTAGAAATTGTGAGATAAATTATATGTTTTTTATGCCAAGTTAAATAAATACTGTTTGAAAGCATTTCTAGAGGGTACAATCAAGTTAATTGCTTTAAAAATCTTTTTTGATTTACTGGGCTCCATGAAAAGTGTTAAGCAATTGCTTCTGTCACAGAGAGCGATCTGAAGACAGTGGTGTTGGGTCCACAAGGTTTCCATGAATGTTCCCTCCCTCGTGCCCAGAAACGCCTCCCAAATGAGCAGAGAGTGCCCCGGGACGGGAATGCAAGTACTCCTGACAGAGTGTTGTTTCCCCAGAGATGACACATGTGGACAGTTTGACGTTCAGGCTGACAGACCGATTTCTTTCTTTTTTATTCTAGATGCTGAAGAATACCAGCCTCCGATATGGAAATCATACCGTGAGTACCTAAAATGAAAATCTCCTCCGAAGCCCTCAGCAGGCCTGCCTTTCGGAACAATTCTTGCCCTTGGTGTAGTGCACACAAGTGGTGCCACGTCACAGCACTGCAAACCCAAATCTTTCTTTGTCCACTAAGGAGAGGTATTAGTCAGAGAGGACTAACTCAGCCCCTCTCCCCTGCGTCAGCCCTCCAAGAACCAGCTGCCTGCCGTTTTCCTCGGGAATGCTTGGAAAAGGGAGGTGTCCATTCTGACTCTGCCTTTCAGTTTGGGGCTTTATTTTTAACGTGTTGACTCCCGTGATTTATGTTCTTGGCTGATCATCCGAAGGCTGTAATATCATATGACCATTAACTGGTGAAAAATTAACAGATGAGCAAAGAGTAATGTTTGGTCACTAAGGGTGACTCCTTAGAAACAGAGATCATGTCTGATCAGCACTCAGCTCCCCTCACAAAGGCAGGCAGTTGTCATCACCTCAAACCTGTCTTCTCTGTCCTTAGTAGCATGTGGCTGACTCGGCAGTTCTCCAGCGAGACAGGGAAGGACTGTGGTAGGAGGGACCCACTGTGTCAACGCCCAGGGGACGCAGGTTCGGTTCAGGCTCCTCTTCAGGTAGCAGTAATAAGAATCATCATTACTGTCGAGATTGTTGTTGCTGTGGTCACTGCTGCCCATTGAGAACCTGCCCTGCGCTGAGCGACTGATCTCAAATTCTCACCGCAGCCCTAACAGCTGGGCACTATTATTATCTCCACTTCGCACAGAAGGAAACCACAGCTCACGAAGCCTGAGTAACTTGGCGAAAGTTTCACAAAAAGCGGTGGGGTGGCATTCAGCGTGGAACCAGATGAGAGCCTGACCCACAGCCCGCCCGCAAGTCTCCAAGACTCTTCTCCTCCTAATTGAAACTTTATACACACACACGTGCACAGACACACACACACATATACCTGTATGTACGTATTTGTTACAAAAGCAATACCAAGCTACATAAAAGACAAACATTAGGAAATACACAAAGCTGAGAGTAAAATTTCCCACAGTCCACAAACCAGTCCCCACCCACATTCCAGCCCCTTCCGGATCCCACTCTTTCCCAGTAGCTGACCTCTGTCCATTTTAGAAAACATAGTCTTCCAATTGTTTAAAAACCCATGCTTAGTATCTGGGCATTTTTGTTGTTGTTGTGTTGTTTTGTAAAGATGGCTTTAAGCTTTACTTGGTGTCCTTCCCCTTGTTTCACTGCACAGACATCTTGTTTGTGTCTTTCCATGTCAGCCCACACAGAGGCACCTCTTCTTCATGACATGAGTCTGTTCTTCCATCTGTGAAATAAAGGGGTCGTGCTGCGTCTCTAAGGGCCCTTCCAATGCAGTGCTCCACATCCCCATCTTGTATTTTAAAAGGCAGAGCTAATGACTTAGTAATTGGATGGTTTTTTTGTGTTTGTTTGTTTCCTAATGGAGTGTGAAGTGCTCTGACGGTAAATCAACAAAATATCTGCAGGGAGAGGTACTGGGTGTTCCCTGACTTACTGTGCCCTGCACACTGCTGTGCACACGGCCTTGCATACATTAACTACCTAATAAATATTTGTTGAGTGAATGCCACTGCAGAGAATTTTGCTGAAGAGAAAAGGTGATATTGGCTCAAATTCATTTTGCCTTTTTCTGAGAGACCTTCTGCCACCCAATATATCTCTTAAAAGCACTTCTGTTTCCTGAGAAAGCTAGAAAAGCATTGCTAATTACATGTCACCGTATCAGTTTTACCTTTGTGTGTTGGTTTTAGGTTTGATTTTTGGATCTAACCAAGTTGTGTTTTTTTTATTTGCTCTGGAATCATAAAACTTTACCTGCAAAAGGGATGGTTGAAGTCATTTAATACAAACCTAATGTCATATATGAAGTTCCTCTTTATTATACCCAGCCAATAGTCATCTAGATCTAGGCTCTACTTCATGAATTCTTTGACTTTGGGTGTTGGGCCACTTGGAAATCTACATATACCTCACAATATTATTATCAAGCCCATGCTACTCCATCTTATTCCCAAGAATATCATCCATTCATTTAATTAATCTTTGAGCAAATGCTTTCTCAATGTCAAGGGGCATTAGGAATCAACAGTGAATAAAATGCGGTTTATACTTTCCTCCAATTTACAGTCTACTAAGGGAGATAGATGTGAAACAATAAATTTAAAATGCAAATGGATTGTAGTAACAAAATTCTACTCCTCTACTTCCTGGGATTACAGAAGACGTTAAATTTGCACGTAGGTCTTGAAAAATGACTTGGAGAAGGAATCTGAAGGCCTTACAGACCTTCATGTCATACTTTTAAAAATCCAAATATGCTAAAACTATAGCATTTCCCTGAAAATCCAACAAATCTATCAGAATATTGAATGTGTTTTGTTTTAGATAACCTATTGGTAAATCCATTCTGAACCTCAAGAATCACTAAGCCCTTCTCTTTGAAGTGCTCACAAATCATCCTTTGAGAGATTAATTTTAAATACGGATGTCAAGCTCATTAGCATATCATTTATGGAATCTATATTCTTCTATCACTCATTTTTTAACTCTGGAAATTATTTGGTACTATCAAAGCTCTCATGTATTTACTGCATGCAGTATATTTTTGCCATAGTTTAGGACTTGGTTTAAAAATTTATGATTTGCAATGATTAGAAATGTATATAGCTAATTCTTTGCTTTCGTTGACTGTTGTCGACCATAAGTTTGACTTATTTAATGTCCAATTCTTGTTATGAAGCATTAGTCCCAATTATGACATTATTCCTAAAAGAATATTAATCTTCTTCTAATGATTCATTATAAGAAACTGTTTCTAAGTTATAATGCTAGTTGCAATACTCTGGGCTGCAAGTAACAGAATACTTTACTCAATCACACTGATTGACTTAAGCAAAAAGTCCAAAGGCACTGGCTTCAGGCTTGACTTATTCCAGAAACTCAGATGACATTACCAGAACCCAGTGTATATTTCTTCCTGTCTTGGCTTCATTTTCCTGGGTTTGGCTCTACTCTTAGAATGTTCTTTCTTTGTGATCCCCAAATAGCTTCCAAAAATACCAGGGCTATCACTTTGTCATTCAAGAGTAATAGATGAGACAGTCTACCTTCTTGATACTTCAAACAAAGTCTCAGCATTGTGTCTCAGCCCTGATTGATCGGAATTACCCATTGCTGACTCCGTCACTATGGTCAGAGAGCTGGGATGTGCTGACTGCCCTAAACCAATCAGGACCCACCACTGGCACTCAGGGAAGGATCAATCTCATGTAACCCACGTGATTGGAAAATTTGGATTAATGTTGGAATGGTAAAGATGGAAATGGATGTTGGGTTAGCAACCACAGATATCTGACTTAGAAATTCAGAAAAGTAAGGAACCTTAGAAATCAGCTCTCTCAATATTTTATGAAGTATGGTGTTAATTAATTTATTTCTTCATTCAACAAATACATAGTAAGTCTCTGCCTTAAGCCAGGCACTGTGCTTGGAGCTGTGGGGCCACGGGATGGATAAGATTGGGTGTTGACTGAAGAAACCATGATGTCACAGGATGCCCCTTAAGTTTCTTCCCACTCTGTTTCTCTCGTTTTCTTGGAAGCCAGCGCCATCCCTTACTGAGCTATTTCCACAGAATAGTCTTATCACAAAGCATCATACATCTGCAGCTCATCCTTAACTCTCAGACCAAACCCCAAAACATTGATGAAGGCGCTGAGAAAGCTTTCCTTTCAATGCCCAAAAAGAAAAGCTACTTTCGAGTTCACTTACAAAATAAATAAGTAAAGCTACATTCCAAATGTTAAGCCAGAACTGTGTGAACTATATGCCCCAAGCAGACAGGTTCAGAAGCCAAACCAGCACGGGTACACTCTGAAAGATTTTCTTTTTCAGGAGGCCAGGGGCCAGTCATTCAGCAGCAGGTGCTGTGGCCGACAGGTCTCCTGGGAGATTCCCCTGGGCTGCAGGTCGGGCTGTCATAGCTTAGGCCTGTTTTCCTAAATAGGAGTTTAGAACCTCAAAACCCTAATCTGTCTACACCCTGGATCAGAATCACCTGGGAAGAATATTTACAATCATTATTCCTCAGCCCTACCCACATCTATGAATTAGAAAAGTGGAAAGGATCTGCAATTTACCAAACCCCACAGGTTTTCCTTACGCATACTTAGGCCTGAGACCTCCTGGCGTGAGGCTGCACAATCTTCTAGGGGTTTTTCACAGTGTTCTTAGACAAGAGAAGAAGGAAGTCCCCATTAAGACTTGACATTCTGTTTGCAAGGCAGGCTGGAGGGTGGGGTTAGGCCAAGGACGACGTCTGAAGCACCTACAGTTCCCTGCTCACACCATGAGTTTTTTGTGTGAAAACTGGGAAGATCTAGGCAGTGAGCAGGGTGGTACTGGCTCAGTGTCAGGGCCAAGTGGCTAGATTCAGCTCCTGGCCCGGGTTTCAGCATTACCCACATGTGGGCGTCATCCACAGGGAGCAGGTTGATTCTGTTCCCAGAGGAGGGTGAGTCAGGTTTTCTCACTGAAGAAAAAGTAGAACGTTCTCTCAGTGAGCCCTCGATTTCTCAATCTGCTTTGGGTTTCTTGGGGAGCTGGGATCTCCACCTCCATCTTCCCCAGTGCCTGCCGCCCCTGCCAAGCGGCTTACTCCAGCACTGAGAATTCTCTCATGTGCTGTACGGGGCCCAGGGCTGGGGAGTGCCTGGAACATATTTGGGACGTTGCTTAGACACACATTCCATCCTTTCACCCCTAGACTCAGAGACAACCCAAGAAGTGACGCACATTATTGCATTTTGCTTGTGAATTGTGTTCGTTAAACAAAGAAAATTCCAGAAGCTATAATTTCAGATTATGTGACTCATTTCAGTTATATATAGTAAACAAACCTTGGAGATTTTTTCTGTGCATGTTTCTTCTGTAACTTTGAAAATGATGAGCAGGCTC